TTTTTTGTGGTTTTAAGTAATTTTTTCACCTCTTTTATCAACCAAAATTTTAAGAAAATTGTGATAAATGTTTGCTTATATTGCCCACCTGTACTGCTTGGTTAACCTCTTTTCTCATTTGATGTCATGTTCCAGATATTCCAGGCTGTTCCAGATCATGTGGGATTCAACATTGAGCTGAAGTGGATTTCTCAGTTCAAGGTTTGTGTTGCCTAAAGTGATGTGTGCGTTGGTTTGATCTCAGTGTTACCGGAGAGAAAAACACCCTCATTGTATTTGTTTCTCCAAACAGGATGGCTCCTGGGATGGTAAACTCTCCTCCTACTTCAACATGAATCAGTTCTTGGATATCATCCTCACCTGTGTGCTGCAGAACGCCGGCAATAGGAGAATAGTCTTCTCATGTTTTGATCCTGATGTTTGCACAATGTAAGAGGCCTTGTTCACATGCATATTCTATAAAGGCACTGATGTTTAAGGTTATATATATTTACTATAGCAGCCAATTTAAGCACAGTATAAACCAACAATGTTTTTTTTAAATGTACAATATGTCCAGGGACATTTATTAAAGAAATAGTCCACTTAGAAATTAAAATTGGCTGAAATTTTCTTACCCTCAGGCCATCCAAGATGTAGATGAGTTTGTGAAATGTAGCATTGCATCATTTGCTCACCAATGGATCCTCTGCAGTGAATGGGTGCCGTCAGAATGAGAGTCCAAACAGCTGATAAAAACATCACAATAACCCATAAGTAATCCACACTACTGCAGTTCATCAATTCATGTCATAAAGCGAAAAGCTGCGTGCTTGTGACAAACATAAAGATTCATCATCAAGATGTTTTTAACTTCAAACTGTTGCTTCAAACTAAAATACAAGTCCATAATCTATAATATTGCTTTCTCCAGTGAAAAAGTCATCTAGTCTGAATCAGGAGAGAAATATGCACAAATCAAGCACCTTTTGCACATTTCTAAACAAATATGTTGGTGGATTTTGATGTGAGAGGACAACAGGTGACTTTTTCCCTGAAGGAAGCGTTATGGATTATGGACTTGTATTTTGGCCAGAAGCAATGGTTTAAAGTAAAAAAATCTTTAATGATGGATTTGTTTCTTACAAACAAAGCTTTTCACTTCACAAGACATTAACTGATGGACTGGAATGGTGTGGATTATTGTGATGTTTTTATCAGCAGTTTGGACTCTCATTCTGACAGCACCCATTCACTGCAGTGGGTCCACTGGTGAGCAAGTGATGGAATGATAAATGTCTCCAAATCTGTTCTGATGAAGAAACAGACTCAACTACATCTTGGATGGCCTGAAGGTGAGTAAATTTTTAGCCAATTTCCATTTTTGGGGGAACTATTCCTTTAAGGATGTAAATAGTCAACCTTAATTTTGTTTTTAAGTATAAATAAATTGTTGTCTTCTTCAGGGTGAGGCAAAAACAGAACAAATACCCCATCCTGTTTCTGACCCAAGGAGTGACAGACCTCTACCCTGAACTCATGGACATCCGCTGTCAGAGCACTAAGATCGCCATGAGCTTTGCTCAGAGTGAGAACATACTGGTAAGAGATCAATGGTGTAACAGCACAGCTGTTGATACTTCAGAGACAGAGACAGCCAGTTTGGCAGCATCAAGCGGTGCCATGTCAAATTTCATGACAAAGACTAAATAAAGACTTTTTGTATGTGTTCACAGGGAATCAGTGCTCACACTGATGAGCTCTTGCGAAACATGGAGTTCATCAGAGAGGCTCAGTCTAAAGGGTTGGTGGTCTTCTGCTGGGGTGACTATAACAACGACCATGAGAACAGGATGAAGCTGAGGGAACAGGGCATCGATGGCCTCATATACGACAGGTGGGCTATAATTTGCCTTTCTGTACTAGGGAACCTTCAGTTCCTCCAACAGCAGTCTTTAGTAGGGCTGAGAATATTGATTAAATGTTTACTCGCACTACATATTGAAAATGTATTGTTGAACTTTTTACATGTGAAAAACAAATCAGCTAGTCATAAAGGTTCAGCAGCAAAGTCATAAAGATATATAAACGTCATAAAGGTACAGTAGCAATATCAGTCTGTTTAAGTATGAAAAGGGGTGGAAAATGGTCAGTTGTGTTTTTGGCATAAGAAACAAAAACTATAAGAACATATTGCATAAACCCACAAGAGATGATGTTGTCATACATAATTTGACTGCCATGTTGACTCTTTCAACATCATCAATGATCGTGCATGCATTTCTGTATAAATGACGTAGTGGTTTACAGTATGGCTCCTCCCTGATGGCCCAGGCATATCAGCACATGTCTGAGTGAAGCTGCGTTTCATTCTGGGTAAAGATTAATCTAATCAGTGATGTTCTGTGTTTATGTAATGCACTTTATGCCATATATGCACTTTTCAATTAGTTACAATCAGACATAACCTCTGGCTGTGTAAATATCACTGTGTATGTATGTGGAAAAAATGTAGCTGTAAAATTTATCCAGTAAAACCAGTTCTAAGGTCCGTCATAGTGTTGGGCGATATGGTAATTTTTCAAATCGTCATATCGCCAGTCCGTGAGATTGCCGATAGATGATATTATCGTGCGTGGGTGGGTGGGGGCAAGAGAGAGACTCACTATACTTGTCATAGGCTATTTCAAGAGAGAGAGTGAGGGAGCCTATGGAAGCACCACGAATCTTAATAATATACTTTCAAACATACTGATAAACTAACATGTTAAATACAAAAATATTTAAAACAGCTAGTTCATATATATCCGGATACAACAGTCATACATGGCTAGGACCGCACATCCTGTGACAAGTTTGCCGCATCGACGCACAGAAGTTATCAGTCTGGTCTGCAAAATCAGTCAACGGTGAAAATCAAAAGTAGATTTATTTTAAAGACCAACAGTTTAACACTAAATATTGGACATAAACGAACATGTTAAATATAAAGTATTTAAAACAGGTAAGTTCATATATTTGGAGTAAATTTAAATTAAACGGATACATCAGTCATACAGCGCTCCTGACCGCGCGCCCCATGAGATGCGTTCTAACATAACTGTGGCATTAAACTCAGTTAGTGAGGGCTTGGTTAAAATATTGCACATATATATGCCGTTCAGATTACTTGTTAAAGTGCAACGAAATACCTTATATCACCAGACAATATGTATCTGTGTTTGTGGTTGGAGACTCCTTCACCGGCTACAGGCTCCTCATTTGCACGCGCGCAATAATAATAATAATAATTATTAATACATTAATAGGAGTATGAGCCTAATATCGTCTTGACTATCGACAAAGACATCTGCTATCGTCGATATCTCTGACTGTCGTCGATACACGATACTATCGTCTATCGGCACAACCCTAGTCCGTCAAGCACTGACAGATGTTTACATAACATGCTGTGTTTGCTGTTTTTTTGCAGTTTCTGACAGTTCAGCTAATATTTGTTCTGTATTTTTTATATATATACACACACACACACACACAATACTTAAATCTGTAGTTTCTATACATGTATACAATAATTATATATAGGGATGTAACGATTCACCACGAGCCGGATGAAAATCGATACAAATATGTGACGATTCAAATCGGTTGAGATGTTGTCGTCGATACACGATACTATCGTCTATCGGCACAACCCTAGTCCGTCAAGCACTGACAGATGTTTACATAACATGCTGTGTTTGCTGTTTTTTTGCAGTTTCTGACAGTTCAGCTAATATTTGTTCTGTATTTTTGTTCCTTCTCTACTGTAGTAAAACCCTCAAGACCTGCTTAGAGAAACTCTGTTCCTTTTTATTGAAATTTAAAGGAATAATTCACCCAAAAATGAAAATTCTGTCATCATGTATTTACCTCTGCTCATTCCAAACCTGTATGATTTAATTTTTTTTGTTTAGTATTAGTTTGTCATTTATTTTGTGTAAATTATTTTCTTTGCAATTTTGAATTCATTTTTAAATCAATATTTTCATATATATATATATATATATATATATATATACACACACACACACACACAATACTTAAATCTGTAGTTTCTATACATGTATACAATAATTATATATAGGGATGTAACGATTCACCACGAGCCGGATGAAAATCGATACAAATATGTGACGATTCAAATCGGTTGAGATGTTAAACGAATCGCGATACATTTGGGGGTGGGAGTTTATATGAATGTATCTTTGAGGGGAACTGGCTGTCTTTAGAAAAGTTTAGATGATATTTTCTTTTCATCTCGTCTCTGTATAATTCATATTAAAGCAGCACTCATAAGTGCAGTGCTGCTTTGTTTACAGCGGTAACCAAGGAAATGCTGTATCTGCTGTTCCATGAGCGCCACCTGCTGTCAGAGAGTGAATCTGCGTCTCATTCAGAGCTTCTGCTCTTTGTTTCGTGCAGATGTTTCATGTAGTGTAGTTTCACAAAACTAAAAATCGAATTGTGAATCGGTATCGTTAATCGCATCGTGAGTTGAGTGAATCGTTACATACCTAATTATATACAATAATAATGTATTACTAGCAAATAGTCTTGAAAAGATTTCAGTTTCAACCTTTGATTTGTTTGATGTGATTTTTCCTTGGTAACCAAATATTTATATGCATTATTGACTCTTTATTGACTTTTAGTCCCTTTTTCCTTTTTTAAATATTCCTCACACCTTTTTATGGTAATTTGCCTCTTTTTTCAGAATACATGAATGCTTGGTGCCAAAGCCTAATGCTTCAACTTCCTCTGATGCCCGTAATGTCATCTGTTTCCCAGTTGTTGTTTTTTTTATTTTATTGGCATTTGGCTGCTTCCTGACTTGTCATTCTCACCGACTAGCACCAAGAGAACCGCATTGTTTTACAGCAATGATGTGAGGCAGTAAAACTGGAGATTTGTTTTTGAGTAGCTTTTATTCAAATGATTCAGCACTGGGTTGAGGTTCAGCTGCCTGTTACATCATTCTGAGCATTCGAGACTTCCTCTTTATATGGGTGACTTAGTTTCCCTCCCAGAACTCATATTACACAAATTACAGTGCAGATGTGCATTTGTTTTATTTCCACTGTGAATTTTTCAGTACTAGCCACGTTAACAGTGCATGATTCCCCTCCGTGGACCTCAATGACTTAATCATTGAAGGATAAATGAATGAATGAATGGATGGATGGATGAATTAATGGCTTCTGCTCTCAAACCAGCATGATTGAGGATCTTGATAAAGGCATGGCAGAAAAAAGCTGCATTTATCTATATATGAATGATCTCACTCTAAATGTATTTGCTGTGCCAGTAAACCCAACTTAAAGGGGTCATATGATGTTGCTAAAAATAACATTATTTTGTGTATTTGGTGTAATGAAATGTGTTTATGCGGTTTAAGTTTAAAAAAACACATTTTTTCCACATACTGTACATTATTGTTTCTCCTTTAGGCCCTGCCTTTCTGAAACGCGTTGATTTTTACAAAGCTCATCGGTCTGAAAAGCGAGGTGTGCTCTGATTGGCCAGCTATCCAGTGCGTTGTGATTGGTCGAATACCTCAAGCGTGTGACGGAAATGTTACGCCCCTTACCATACTGTGATGCCGTGTCCTGGCTACACAGCTCAAAACTCACGTTTGAATGGTCCGTGGCAAATCCTTTAAATATGAAAACGTACGTACAGTCTGTGAGTCAGAACAGATGGCATTGTAGTCTACTCTCCCAGGATCAGGAAACAGTCCTCCATAAAATGTGCCACACACATCTGAATATTTGGGTTGAACTGTTCTGGAACAGTGTTGTAAATACAACTTAACCACTGATTTCTAGTCGTGTCCTCTTTTGGAAGGCCAAACTGTTTTGCACTGTTTCTTTATCCACAGAATCTGTGATGACAAACTCGAGCAGCCAAACATCTTCAAAGTAGAGGAACAGGGTGGAACTCTAAAGGAGGTTATTCAAACATGTGGCTGCTCCTCCTACAGCATTCCCTGCTCCTCCATGCCGTGTGCAGGAAAAGCCCAGGATGCCAACGGGGAGTCAGATTCCGGCCTCAGTTCCTCTTGAGACCCACACAGCCAGTCCACCTTCACTCTATGTCTGTAATCTTCCAACAAAGCACCAGAACTAAGGCACAAATGCACTCTGTCATTAAGCCAAACTTAAGCCTGAGATGTTTTAGAGTATAATCATGTAAAGAATGATATTGGGGTCAATTACACAACGCTAACTTCCACAAAGGCAATATTTTTGCTTTATTTAGCCAATTTGCTGTATATTGTGATGCGAAAAATTCTGTATAGAATGAGTCATATTTGTTTTATAATTCTTAATATTCTGTGTTTTAATGCTTCAACTTCCTCTGATGCCGTAATGTCATCAAATAATATTCTTAATACTTATGTGAAAACTATTTAGCATTGAATAATATTATAAATAAGAAAATATTTCATTTCCAGGACCTGGTCATGGTGTCGTAATCGTATATAATTAAAAAACAATTTTAAATAAATAAAACATACACAAAGTAAACAGACTAAGATTGAATTTGCAAAAAAGGTTGCATGCCATTTTTACGTTAAAAGACTGGCGTTGAATAAATTGTGGGTGAAAAAAATTGGTTGATGAAAAATAAAACTGCAGTAGTTGTAAATGCAATGTTTTCAGCAAAAATTCAAAAACTGTTAATCTTTGATACAGGGTGATTGTGAATGTTAGAGTAAGCTGACTTCATTCGAGGGCACTAGATGTGGTGTTTCAATGTTTGATGTTGAAATGCTCTTTTATCTGTCACAGGTGAGGTGGCCTTTGGTGTGTAACGTCATTCTGCAGCTGTGTGGTGTCCATTAATATTTAACATTCTGCTCTGGCCGCAGGTGAGCATTTCCTATTTGTTCTCCCACATTATACATATAAGCATCAATGGAAAATCACCAGCAAGTCTCCCTTGCACTCTGAAGGCTGTGTCTGAAATCATAGTGAGCTGCCCACATTCATAAGCCACTTATAATGGCCAGAGATACTGTCTAGCTAGTTTTAATACAAGTTATTGTACCTATAATTGTTTTCCACATATTGCTGCAAACAAGAGTGCAGAGGAAAGGAAACAAACCACCCTTTCCTCAAATGAATCTTATATAAACAGAGGAAAGGTGTGCTGCTTTTATTGTACTTTGTAGATGATTTGAGATTTGAAAGTACACGCTCCTGTAAAGTTGTATGCCTCAGCCTGTTTCTTTCACTGTTTTGCTGTCTTTACAACTTTAAGATATGCACTATGTTATCATATATCACACTATGTCACACTGATGGCTTGGATTTTTACATTTGTGTTTATAGACCTTTTCATGTCCCAATATGTCTTAATATATTGGATCAAATAGTAAATTCACTATTAGTAAAGATGGGAATCTTATTAGTTCATTTCAATTTTGTGCTAAAAGAAAACCAAGAGATGCAGTGATTTTTAAACAACTATTTAAGCAAATGATGCCATTTTTGCCATGTCCAAATCATACAATACAAACCAAATATTACAGGAATATTTTATTATATTGCATAATATTCACTTTTAATAATCAAAGAATTCTGCATTGCATGAAAGACCCGTGCAAACTAATATTGAGCTACTTTCAATGTTTCAGCCCTTGAACTACTTGTAATGAACTAGTCTGGCGATCTACAGTACCATCTAGTGCTCAGTATGTAATGTGCATTTATTTTTCGTCATAATAATCTGCAATGGCATTGCAGGAGCTTGTTGCTGATTAATCAACATTGTGGTGAAAGCTTGCTCTTTATATATGCAACTTATACATGAGCTGTAATGAACCAAAATTAAGCCTACAACATTTTATCTTCACATACTCTAACTAAACTAACCCACACATCGAATCAAAGTAAAAAATAAAATAAACAACAATAATAATAATTTTACCATATCCGGAAGATTAAAACTACTACAAATCGCGCATTTATTCAAATATTGTTTAGTTAAAATGACGTTAAGTTTATAAAATTGCGGGTACAATCATTTCAAAATAAAGTCAGGCGTAATTGCAATATTACGTAACGCGCATTTATGCGTGTGTATATAGGAGTTGTAGTTTATTTGGGTTCGATTCTTTTTAACGGCCTTTCAGTTAAGCTCGGTCGCAAAACAACAAATCCCATAATGCTTTGCTCGAGCGTGCTGAACGCCCACGCTTAATAAACGCAATGACAGTAATCCCCCGCTGCCATAGTGACAGAGCGCGAGAGAAACGAGCAGATAAACGAAAATAGATTTGAGTGTTTATCTGTTAATTTAACTACAGAAATAATGGACAATTCCGGGAAAGAAAAGGAGGCAATTCAGCTCATGGCTGAAGCCGATAAGAAAGTGAAGTCTTCCGGCTCTTTTTTAGGAGGAATGTTTGGGTAAGATTAAATAGATGCTTACTTCCTTATTTATTTAGAGTCCGCTGGTCTGTTAAGAGATGTTCTCAATATGATCACGTTGCCAAGCTTTGGTTTTATGTTAATTAGTTGATACTGAGTTTTTAATTGTATAAAAACTAAAAATATATATGAATTTTATTGTACAAGGGCCCAAGCTGTGACAGGCCGCTTTGCGCATCAACCGATGGAAAAAAGGGCTTGTTCATTAAAATGCATAGTTGATCTTTTTAAATAACGATTTTTGCATGATCATTATGAATTAAATAGTGATAATAACTGATATGATTCCATGATTGGGCCACCAAGTGAAGGGTTTTGTGTTTGGCGCATTAGTGGCGCAGTGGCTGCAGTATTTACATGATTTTTCTTGTTTTTATGTCACTGTAATAATATTAACAAAGAGGGAACACATGTACAATGATAACTTACTACCGTGTTTACATATGGACTTTTTATTTTAGTAATGTTTACATATGGACTTGAATTTTTAGTCTGTTGCACATTATGTAATAATAATCTAAAGTTAATGTGAAACAAGATATGGTACTATTTTAATATTCATATGAAATGGATTGCAATAAAATATTTATAAGTGTATTCATTTGAAATATTATGATTAATAAAAATAAATATTGATTAAAATAAATTCGAATTTTAAAATGTAACCTATTTTAAAATATATATTTAAAAGCACAACTTTATTTTAATAATTATAACTTATAGTTTTACAACAGTGGCTGATTAAAGCCATTCTTCAGTTTATATCCATATTTTTTTGAAGAGCCCGGTGTCGACAGCAACAGTGAGATGCTTTATTGACACCCCAGACATATTCAGCACATATTCAGTGTTATTTATAGTAAACAAGCTCTGACCTAGTATGGATTTATTTCAAATAGTTTTTATTAATATGATATGAGGCACTTGCAAACTGACCCGATTGCATATTTCCACCAGGACACATGTTTTCTAGGCTATTACCAGCTATAATTTTCTGACTTAACCCACTAATATACATACAATCAAATTTGACTTGGTAAATCAATATTAACTAATATTAATAAAGTGTTACCTTCTGGTTTGTAGATTTGTTAGGCAAGCATTATAGTTTTCATTAAGGTATTAAATTGGAAAAAAGACATAACTGAATCTTCTCACATCTTTCAGAGGAAATCACAAAGTGGAAGAGGCATGTGAGATGTACGCCAGAGCGGCCAACATGTTCAAAATGGCCAAAAACTGGAGTGGTATGTGCTTTTTAGTGGTGCAGACATGCCGTGCTTCATCTTTAACCAGCGGTATTGTATTATATAATGCTGAAAAGGTCATTATGTAATATACATACAAATAGTTTGAATATGAACCCTTTGTGCATTTTTATATATGTTCAACTGCGAAATATAAATATTTCTCATTAATGAAGTTATCCTAATGTTATCTTGAATAATTATACAGCTTTGTTTGTAATTGGCAGGATATATTATGATGTTTATTATATATTCATATTCTGCTGTATCCAGCTGCAGGCAATGCTTTCTGTCAGGCGGCCAGAATTCACATGCAGCTTCAGAATAAACACGATTCGGCCACCAGCTACATCGATGCGGGTAATGCCTTCAAGAAGGCAGATCCACAAGGTGAGGCCACAGATCAACTTCCAGCTTCATCACAGTCAGTTGATTTATTCTGTATTAGCACGTTGATTCATCTCAAGATGAATATATAATATATGACTGTTGCTGAGCCGTCATATATTTCTAAACAAGTTCATTCTATCACTTTTTTAATGAATGGATTCATGAATTAAATTACTCTCGTTTTATAAAACAGTTGTTTCTGTGTGAACTTAACAGTGTTATTTTAGTGTTATTTATGTACTATTATAGTCTTATTTATTATTAATATTTTGAGTTAGCCCTTTTATTTTTTATTAATTTTATGTGCTTTTGTCATTTCTATTTTTTTTTTATTATTCATTTTGTTTAATATTTAGTTTTAATTCATTTTTGATTCGTTTTCATATCATAATAATCATATTATATAAATCCTTTCTAATTTTCCTTTTTAATTTTATTTCAATTAAGCAATTTTAATTATGTATATATATATATATATATATATTTAATTAGATTTTTTTTATTTGACTGTAAATGGCAGGGGTCTCCAAACTCAGTCCTGGAGGGCCGGTGTCCTGCAGAGTTGAGCTCCAACCCTAATTAAACACACCTGAACCAGCTAATTAAGGTCTTACTAGGCATACTAGAAACTTCCAGGTAGGTGTGTTGAGGCAAGTTGGAGCTAAACTCTGCAGGACACCGGCTCTCCAGGACCGAGTTTGGAGACCCCTGGTATATGGCATAAGAATGAATGCTGCATTGCAACTAATATTAGGAGATTTCGATGAGATCAGTCAGTGAAGGTAGAAGTGATGCCACAGTCCACTCACAAATGTGTTGCAAAAACCAAAGAAAGTGCATTTGAATCTAGAGTTTATTAAAAATGTAAACAGTTCTTTACACACAATAATTCAGCAGTGTAGCGGTGTACGTAATAGACAAAGTGTGTGTTTATATATTGATATGGGCTTTTTTATATATATATATATATATATATATATATACACACACACACACACACAGTGCCGTGCGAAAGTATTCATACCCCATTAATTTGTTCACATTTTGTTATGTTGCTGCCTTATGTTAAACTGCTTTAAATTACTTTTTTTCCCACATCAATCTACACTCCATACACCATTCTGACAAAGCAAAAACAGAATTGTCACATCTTCGTAAATTTATTAAAAATAAAAAAACAGAAATAAGTACATTGCATAAGTATTCACTAAATATTTTGCTGAAGCACCTTTACAGTCTCAAGTCTTTTTTGTTTGATGCGACAAGCTTTGATCATCATCATTTGGCAATCATCTGCCGTTCTTCTCCTCACCTCTTCACCTCTCAAGCTCTGTCAGGTTGGATGGGAGCAAATGCACATTTTCAAGTTTCTCCAGAATTATTTGATTGGGTTCAAACTCATGCTCTTGCTGGGCCACTCAGGGACATTCACACAGTTGTCTATAAGCCACTCTTGCTGTGTGCTTGGGTTCATTGTCCTATTGGAAGGTGAACCTTCTGCCCAGTCTGAGGTTCTGAAGGCTCTGGACTAGGTTTTCATTAAGGCTATTGAGTCTGAGAGTCCTCTAGGTGTTTTTATGCAAAATCCAAGTGTGTTTTCATGTGTCTTCACTGAGGAGAAGATTGAGTCTGACATAAAGCCCAGATCGATGTTGCAGTGATATTTGTCCTTCTCTAGATTTCTCCCATCTGCATATATGATCATGGAGCTCAACTAGAGTGACCATCATGGTCTTGGTCACCACTCTAACCAAGACCCTTTTCCATCAATTGCTCAGTTTGGCCTGGAGGCCAGCTCTAGGAAGAGTCCTGGTGGTTTCAAACTTCTTCCATGAAGGGTGACAGAGACTACATGCTTCTGTGACCCTTCAATGAGGCAGATTTTTTTTCTGAACTCTTCCCCAGATGTGTGGCTTGACACAAACCTGTTTCTGAGCTCTACAGGCAGTTCTTTTGACCTCAGGGCTTGGTTTTTGCTGTGATATGCATTATCAGCTGTTAGACCTTTTATTAAGATGTGTGTGCCTTTCCAAATCATACCCATTCAATTGAATTTGCCACATGTTAACTTCACTCGGAGTGTAGTAACATCTACAAGCAATTTGAATGCTCCTGAGCTAAATTTGAACTGTCCCAATGGAATCATTTAATTTCTTTTTTTTTATATAAATTTGCAAAGATGTTAAAAACCTGTTTTTTGCTTTACCATTATGGTGTATGGAGTGTAGATTGATGTGGGTAAAAGTAATTAAAAGCAGTTTAGCATAAGGCAGCAACTTAACAAAATGTGAAAAAAATGAAGGG